TGTATATATGTGTATATATATGTAAATGACAAAAGCTGGCACTTATTAAGGCTAATACTGTAATATTAGAGTAAAACAAATGTGTTAATGTGAGATCAGTTGATACATACAATAAACAAACATGTTGGGATCTCTTAAATTGGGTAAGAGGCATATTATGAGGCATATTATTTATTTTGAAGCTGAACATTAAATATATTAAACATGTAAGATTACAGTAACAGTTATTACGCAAAAATATCCCAATATCCAGACTGAATATTCCTAACAGTTGCACTACTTTTTGCATTATCTGCTGCTAACACACACACCATTACACCCTTGATAAGATATTGTTTGCCCACTGATATACTGGCTGGGATCTCAATGAAAAATGTCTCTTGCAAAGAAAATGAATATACTGTCAGCTTATAGTCTATGCTTAAACAAAGGGAAAACTGATAGTGCTTACTGTGTGTGTGTTTAGTGAAGCTCTGGTCCAAACCACTGACCTGGATCTCAGAGAGGAAGTGAAGTGTTTAAATGAGTGCAACAGATGTGAACATACCGCGATACACTGGAGACATCCTGTGCTTCCACTGTAGCTCCAGTGAGGAGGGTCTGTAACACACTGACATACAGCGCATACAGACAGTTGAAACAAGAGCAAATATAAAGTTATAATCTGCATATTTTTAACATGTCAAATAATAAATAAAGTAAAAATTAAACAGATAATGGCTTTATTTAGGAGGTATTAGTTTCTTTATGGGTGCTTAGTGTACCTTACATAGGCCTCAGGTAATGGTGGACCCTCTAGTGGTTGTTGTTGGTCACTCAGTCTGGTCCAGAGCCGCCTATCTGGACAGTAACTGGCCATGTTATCATGTTCTCCCCACCTACCTTTTGTGTTTTAAACTTCCTCTTCAAAATGAAAATTCCTGCATAATGTGGGACTTTAATGACCAGATTGCCATGAATCATCTGATCATACCGATTTCTGTAACTGGATTTTTGTTTTATGCCATTTATGACATTACACTCTCAAGACAAATTTCTACTGAACAGAACAGAAAGATTGTCAGTATGTTTGTTTGTCTGTTGTGTGTGTTCAAGTTTTTCTTTTCTACTGGCCTCCCCATCATAATTCTGAATACATTTAGCTGTGGATGACAATAGATTGGAGACAATAATAGAGCAAACAATCAGTCGATTAATGGACAGAAGACCAATCTGCACCTTCTTTGATAACTGTTAATAAATGCCAAGAATTCACTGGTTTGGACTTCTCAAATGTGAATATTTGCTATTGGTCGGACGTTTGGAGATGTTTACTGTGGGTCTGGGAAACTGTAATAGACCTTTTTTGCTATTTTCTTACATCATAGTTGAATGTTTTAATGATTCAACAGTTAACTGAGAAAATAATTAGGAGTTTAATTGATAATGAAGTTACAGTGAACACATGTAAATGTTGATCACATTTCTACTACCCTAAATAAATCAACCAGTGGTTATCAAACAGTGGGGCAGACGACGGTGGGGCATGGAGCCACTGCAGGTGGGGCAAGGATAAGAAAAATATGTATTGGAACAAAACTGAATTCATATTTTATGTAGGAAAAAGACTTTGCTGATGCTATTGTGCCTACTGTTATTAAACAAGAATTCAACTTTGATCCTTTTTTTATGATAGTTTTGGTTCCCTTGTTGTTGATAATGTTTTGTAAAACTTGCGGGGTGTAAACTTTTAAAGGAGGGCAGGACAGAAAAAGTTTGAGAACCGTTGGTGTAAACAAAAGTTTGACTAATATAGTTTCTGGTGTTTCACTTACATAGGTTGTTTCGTACTTATTGTGGGAAACACTCCTGACAAACCTCTGTAGTGGTGTTCAGACAGAATTCTGCAGGTTGATTTGTGTCTAATATCACTGCAGTGGTGTTGTGTCACTTTAATAATCTCATAAATATTGTAAATAATGTAATTAATGGCAGTGAAATGACAGTTTGGGGCTCTTCAGCAGAGGTGAGGTGATACTATAGTTTCAGACCACTTGACACCACCTAGTGTGTACAGAGAATATAACAAGTGAACACAAGAAATTGAAAATGAGTCATGATTTTATTTTCAGCTACATGCATGAAAAACACAAAAACTTGTCGGTAACAGATTCACATCTACACTGTTTTATCATCACATATCAAGAAGGATTGGATCTGGGGATTTTCTTATGATATTTGCGAATACATTTTATTAACAGTCAGAAAATAATAAATGTATATTAGTATTTAATCTGACCTGTGGAATCACAAAAAAAACCATAATTTAAATAATTCACATTTAGGGTATTTCGACGTTATGTGAAGTTCTTCAGTACATTACATGATCTGTTTGTGGTATGAATATTCACTTAATAATAAATCCAATCCAAAATGATACCATGATGTAATAAAGGAAGTCATAAAAATGTTAAAAAATAAAAACTCAAGGAATAGCAGTCAGCTCATGAGACAAGTTACAGATCAGCAGAGGGGATTAAAATAGCAAACACATTATTGCGAATGACACCGCAGCCCACAAAAATAGGACAACCGCAAAAAAAGGAAGGAAAGTTGCTCCCACACCAGCAGTTATTCTTGATATAACAAGTACTGAAGCAAGCCAAGAAGGACATATTTTACATTTACACATTCCTGTATTTTTAAATCCCACTGTAAAGCTCCCACATTTTTACTATGAAATTAAAAATATCCCTTTTTTTTTTTTTTTACAAAGTTGTTTCGTAACTAATCATGTAAGAGTCTTCACAGTAGTGACATTTGCTTTTAAATCACTCGGATGAATAAGCTGAAATTAAAGACCTAAAGAACAAAAACAAACAAATGACATAAGATAATACGTCGTCTATATTGCACGATACAATATCAAGAATCATGTTTTTCTGAAACAAAGAGAGAGAGTGGCTGTAGGAAGGAATGAAAAAAAGGGCATAAGGAAGTGGAGAGGAACAGCTCAGTGGTTTTTCATTGTGTCAGAAAACTCTTCTTGTACCTTCAGTTGCTGTATTTGTCGTTAACAGTGGTATGGAGCAGTCGGGGCGGGCAGCCTTTGCACTCATACAACATTATTATCAATATCTGTAGATAATGATCAGGGTAAAGTGCTTCATAACTGAAACTACTGCTTCCAGTAATTTAATTGTTGAGGAGTGACTGTGTAAACATGATGGGAATGCCTACTAATAAATGTGAACATTAAATAATATCTATTCTGTTGGCACCAGGGTGAGAAATGACTACAGAGCTCATTAATTCTGGCTGTGGCAGGTTCAGATTGTCTGCTTTTACCAGCCTGTTTGACCAGTAAACAACCACAATAGCTCATCCAAATGTCACACTTAAAAGGAAAACAAAGAAGTGGTTGGGAATTTTTAGGAATGGATGAGCCATGTGACTAATTTAAGAAAAGTTATGTCCCTGTCCGTTATTCCGTTATCGCTGAGATTTCCTACATGGAAGCCACAGCAGTATGTGACGCCTGGGCTTTTCTGCTTGCCTTACTGGTAGACCTGAACGTGCCCATGCAAGGAGGTGGTGTTCCCCCCACAGTCCACATACTGGTACATCTCCTGGGAGACCTGCTCCGCGTGGCCGAAGTACGACGTCGTCACCGTCACCCTGGAAAAATAACCACAGAGTCATCTACTGTATGTCAGACAACAAGGTGAGTCAGCACTAAATCCTGCACTGGTGTGGAAAATGTGGATGATTCAGCAGATTATAAATATTGATCTGACTTTTTGGTTGACTTGAATCTAAATGAGAAGATCCAAAGAACCACAGATGTCCATACCATGGATATCTAAAACAGTTAATAGTTATTTAATAGGAGTTCATGACCAGAACATTCATCATCTTGAAAGATCAGCAGGTTTTTGGTTTAAAAGCTGCACAATTAATTCAAATATTATTAAATATGCAAACCGCAGAAGCTGCAATTCTTTGATAAAGGAAAAATTGTGTCAAACAGCATTATAATGAAGGACTGTAGTGCTGCAGAGATGCCCTCGGCCTACAAACTGTGTCCTCCAGATGTAAGGAAACATGTTTGTTTGCTACAGACCCCAAGAGATTTCACATTATCATGATCAATCTGTGAAGCAAAAATCATCATTCCCACACTAATTATATTGCAGTCACAATATCTTTACCTAGTACAGCTAGTTTACCTATAGAATAATCAATATAAGTGATAAGTCACTCTAAAGACAAATAATTTTTTAATTACTAATTGTTAATGCCATTTTTATGTTATTTTTATGTCATTGTCGTTTTCCTCGTTCCAGTTGTTTTCCACATTTGGGTGTTTCAGTCTGTCTTTTTGGGGGAGCTTTTTCCCTTTTATTAGATAGGACAGCTGAAAACAGACAGGAAACAGGGCAGAGAGATTGGGGGGGTTGACATGCAGCGAAACGCCATAGGTCGGACTTGAACCCGTGGCCCCTGCCTCAAGGACCCAACCCCCGCACATGGCTCTACCAGGTGAGCCATCTGGGTGCCCAGTCTGTCTTCTATTGTTAAATGCATCAAACGAACACTCACAAATGTCCCTCAGGGTATTATGGTCTTAGATGTAAAATCACTGAAATGCAAGAAGAGCCTTTATAATATTAGCTGCCTCCATTTTCACTGGGATTCAGTCTGATGTTTCTTGGCTAGAAAGCTGCTGTTTGGCCTTGACCACAAAAGAATAAGAAGTCAGCTAATAAAGATCATTTCTGCCTTGGAGAAATGTTCGTCTTCGATATATTTACAGTCTGTTTGAAAGTCAGCATTGACATGTAAATGAGCAAGGCACCCAAAAGGCCTGCGTATCCCCTGTTGGTCTGAGCAGCAGAAGGACGTGTTGTTTCTGGGCAGCTTGTGGGTATGTGTGGGTGAAACTATGCGAGTGTGGAGGAGAGAGAGAGAGAGAGAACATTCGACTGCAGGATGTAAATAAATTAATACATTTAGAAAACTGAATATTGAGCCACACTTACTGCATCATGACCACTATGTTGTGGACTTTAATGGTTGGCAAGGTGCAGTAGTCACTGTAAGAGAAGAAGGATTTTATGATTGTATGATTTTTAAAATGATAAAAGTGTGAACAGTGAATATTTTTATGACTTCTAGCTAAGATACTTACAACATATAACTCATCTCATCGGCAATGGTGGTGGGGACTGTGTAGTCGATCTGAAATAGACATCATTTATGAAGCATTTCAGGAGCAGAACAACATTATACACTATATTTATGCTAATTATAATACAATGAATGTACGTTTTTACAGTTTTATCCTCAATCCTGTTTAATCCTGCGAGTGGTGATATAGCGAGCAGTGGTAGCAAGATTTGTAATGTCACAAGACTTAAAGACAATGAGGCTTTAATGGTGCTTAAAAGATTTGTTTGAAGTCCGGATCTCTGTGATTTAAGCTGGACGAGGTTCCTTGGTATCGTGACTCTGGGTGTAACAATGAGCTGTTGTAGTAGGCTGTGGATTTCAGTATCTATAGTCATTGAATTAACTTTCTTACCAGCCATGAATCTGTAACTATGCAGAGTCCTTTGGGTGTACGGTGAAATGTATTTCAACCCACCTGCCGTTCATCCAGCGGTATGATCACCGAGCTGTTGTTGAACTTGGCCTTGCCTATCACCGTCTTAGAGAACTGCACCTGGGCTGTGATGTTGGTCACAGATACGGTGTAGTAGTTGTTATTGGTGATGTTCAGAGTGCTCTGGATGGAAGAACATAAAAGGTGTGAGATTCTGGAAATACAGTGCGTGACTTTTAAGGAGATTTACACATTTATAGCATTTTAAACCTGCAGTAACAGAGTTTTTGGCCACTTGGAGGCAGTGGAAACAAGCTGTAAACACACAACACTGACGTATTATCACCTTTTAAGTTGATATGGCGAACTTGTTAGCAAACGGCTGCCTATTTACACATCCAGCAGACATGTATCAAGCAGCACTTGGCAGATTTAAGTCCAATAGTCACTCTGTTTTTAGGTCTTTTTTTGTTTTTTATTAACCCTCAAGGGAAATATCTGCGACTTGGTGTTTAACCGGTACTGTACTGAGCTTTTCTGCTGATAATAGCTCTCTGTTGCAGCTGCAAACACTACTGACAAGAGCTGTGAATGAACCAAAACAGTAAAGCTGCGGGCCAGAAAGCAAACACAATGAGCTGAGAGACACTAAAGAGCTGAGTGTATTCATCACTACAGTGGACCCCTTTCACATACAAGTAGTCATGTGATCCATTGTTAAAAAATAAATATTGATTATAGCCGCTTTTAAGTCTTTGTCATAAAAAAAGCACAAGCCCAAATGATTAAACTCTCCTCCATGGTAGGTATGAAGTGAGTGGCTACACAATCTTACTGTAATGTTGAGATAGACGATTCGTTTGTCCAGGTCGTAGGAGACGTAGGCAGACTTCACTCCCACGTAGGAGACATCAATAGAGCGAGGGAATAGGAAGAAAACGGCGAGGCCAGACAGCAGCAGGCAAAGTGCCACCGATATCGTGACATACAGCTTTCTGCAGGAAAAAGAACAGAGAAGTGAGACCCCCTGAAACCAGCTGATGAGTTCAAAGTCTAACATGTTTCTGTGTGTTCATTGAGTTTCATCATGCAGACAGCTAACTCAATCAATCTTTAAAAAAAAGTGCACTGAGTGCAGACTTACGTCCTGCTTGGCCTGAGCCTTTGGTCGCTGTATGGAATCAGAGCCACGAGCTGGTTCTCTTGGCCTGTTTGAATAATTCAAAGAAAAAGTCATTTTACTGTTGAGAAAGGAATATGTTGTAAGATTGGTAATGACACTGTGGTACAACTCCTGAGGAGAATCTCTCAAAGTTGACTTTAGAAATTAGGAGTATACTCAGTTTTATGGATGATTGGTTCATTCTTACCCGTCAAAAAGTATAATTTTATGCATTGATGAATCAGTTTCTTGGCTGTAACTAGATGGCAATCTTGACCGGATTAGGGGTTTGTCTAACTGGTACAGCAGCAGGAAGAACATAAATAGTTTGAGCTGTGAAAACGTTTTAAAACGTAGCAACTGTTTCCCATTCTGTTAGACAAACTGCGAGAATTTAAGAGCATCAATATTTAATGAAAATGTCCTGACAGAAGCTTAAAATATTCAGGCGAGCAAACTTTTGTCTCTAAAGCTTGGAAAATAAAACAAAATGGCCTATTAATTTAGTCTGTTTTTTTCTTGTACGTTATATTATATATTTGCTACATCTCTAGATTTAAAATGTATACCGATTAATGGTTATTTGAATAATCTATAAAGTTTTACCTCGTGGGATTCTGCCGGTGCCCTGACACGTAGGGCATGTGACGCTGTCCCGTCCGGTGAACTCCACGTAGGGGAACTGAGATACGTCGCCATTCTTTCCATCTTCCTCCGTTTGACCGTCTCTGTACTCGCCGTTAGCCGTCAGCGCGTCCTGACTCTCGTCTTTGTGCTTGGCCAAGTGTGACTGGGACTTGCCCATATCTGCAGCTGTCTACAACACCCAACACAAAAGATAGCATGAGGAGAGAGAGGAACTGCAGCTGTATGTGCTGACTAACCACATGCCACACAACCGCATGAATGTGAAACTAAAGCTGGACGCATTCCAGGCAACATTTCCCTGAAGAACAAACTGCTCCACTGCTGCACCGTCTATGATGAAAAGCCTCTGGTAAAACTTAATACACTAAATAATTCTGTAAGACTGTGACCTTCTTAATATTATCACCTGTATTTAATTTCCAACGTTCTCTCTGATATAGAGATTTACAGCTTAATACTTGTGTAGTATCCTCCTAAATGATCATAGAATTGCTATAATTCTTTTAAAATGATACAGTAAGACTTCTCCAGGGCTGCTGACTAGTCAATTAGGCAACTTTTTGGTCATTAAAGCCTTAACTGATTACAAAACTGATTATCTTTTTATGGGGAATGAGCTGTTGGTCCTCAGCGAATACTGGAAAGTATAATAAATATGCTTATAAGTCTTTAGTAACCACAAGGTTTTAAGAGACCCGTACGTATGCCGATATTCATCTGGGGTATATTAAAAGAAATAAATTGTTTCATTAAAATCAACTAATTGCATAGTAAAAATGTGCCATACATGTTAATGCATCAATAATGAGCCAGTTATATAATAATATGACCCTGACCGGAGCCAGTCATCACTATGAGATACTTTAAGTACTGACTAGTACGGTAAAGTATTTTACTATGTAGAAACACACTGAAAATACTCTACTACAGATAAAAGTCCTCTATTGAAAATAATATTTTAGTACAAATATCAGCAAAATGTAAAGTGAACTAAAAGTACTCATACTGCTTAAAAAATGATCCATGTGAGTGCTTTACTATATTTACTATATTAGATTATTATTACTGATGCATTCATGTGTAATTAGCATTTTACTATCGATGTGGAGCTGATTTAAACTATTTTACATACATTTGAGATGTTTAATATATTTTAGGCACAAAACATGATTAACTTATGAAACATGATGCATTTGTTGTCATGTTTTATAAATTCATCATATGTTTTGTACATCAAAGTCTAGTCTGCAAAATAATAATGTCAGATAAATGCAGTGGGAGTAACTTAGAGGACAATGGAAATACTCAAGTACAGCAGTACTTGAGTAACTATACTGAGTTACTTTCCACCACTGTTGTGGAGAAGGTCTAAATGCTGGTGAGAATAGTCACAGCTAACGTTACATAGAGTAAGCATAGCCAACTGGGGGGGGGGGACTAACACCGTTAACACAATGAGATGCCACACACAACCCGCAGGCTGTTGCTCAGAGACGTCCTGGATGTCTAATGTGTGTCTAACATACATTATCAACACGGCCCAGGCCGCCATACTGCTGAGCCGTTGTCCCTCAGCCGGGAACACAACGTACCGGCCGGAGGAAAACGGCTACAACGCCTTTAACCTCCCCGACAAACGCCACATTTGACCGGTACATTGTCATTTAAACACGAAATAAGAAAAACAAAACTGCGTTCCATGTCGTCACGCAATTCTAACGTTTGATCGCATACATTAACGGTCGCTCCGTGGAACGCTCCGCACAGATACGTCATCGGAGCCGTCGAGCGTTCCACACGCGGTCAGCTGGCTTACATGTTCGGCTACCGTCTTACCTGGTTCTGTGTTTTTATTCTGACTCTGGTGCCATTCGTTGTCGCGTCGTCGCCGTTTGTTGTGGTTCGCACACCAGTGGGGAGTGCAGCCGCCCGCCCCGCCCCCTCCGCCTCCTCATTGGACAGACTTAACGCTAGGTCGCGTGTATCGGTTTCCACCGTTTTAATTCACTGTAACGCAGCGGCTCCAGCGACCGTTGGAACGTTACGCACACACACACATATATATATATATATATATATATTATAGAATGTTCTGGGTGAATACTCGATTCTGATTGGCTGCTGGGTGTCCATTAGTACCTGATGTAGGACACCTAAGTAGTTCCAACCGTTCTGAATGAATGCGCTGCAAAGAACTGAGTTAAATATCCCATTAATGTATCTTTACACTACAGTGTAGTCCTTCAGAGGCTGTAACGCACAAACCCCTCTGAACTTACTCATACTTTCTGTTTTTGTGACCAATTTTCTACAAATTTAAGGCAAAATGGTATAAACAAACATATTATACATATTTTAGTAAAGAAAGAAAAGTAGATATTCACATTGTCCATTATTCCTGATAATGGACACCTAAGTCGGTCATTATCACTTACATAAAGAACGCCGATATATTTGGCTACCCACCTAACTATAATTACTGTAGAAATACCAGTGGTGGACATAAATCTATATAAATACCCACAATAAAAGTCCTGCTTTCAAGTAAAAGTAAAGAAATACTTTGAAACATAAAAACAATATGTAAAAATGTAGCCTATCAAAAGTTACTAATTACTTTATTAAAGGTTACCTCCTTTAGAGTATTATTTAAGTATATAGCACTGTGTTATATTAATAGGTTATTACTGATGTATTATCATTTATGTACATTTTAATATCATAGATCATCACAGTGAGGCTATTATAAAAATAATAATAGAAAATGTTATACATAAAAATGGCTCATTCTAGGTAACAAAAACATACACCATGATTACTGAAAATTACCACTGAAAACATACTTATGGATATTATATTAAATTCCTGCCAGTTGATCCCCTAAATCTTACACACTGGATCTCTAATACTGTAGATGAACATAGATTTAAAAAGCCATTGTCAGGTAATGTCAATGTAAAATTAATCCTATAACATCTTGTGATCCTATTGAGCACAGAAAATACCATGAAATGCTATTAGGTCACTGTCAATGTGCTATTATGTATCAGAGGCCTATTGACCTGTTGTAAGGAGTGCAATCATGTGCCTATACGGTCATTAGTGTATCATTTTCATCAGCATCAATGGCAAAATACATCACTTTTAACTTAAATAAACAGAAAATACAGCTTTACTACCGAGATAAGAATATTTACTTTTGTAATGAAATCAAATTTATATGTCTCAATTGAATTAGTTAACAAATTAAATTGTTCCAGTAACAAGAGTTTTGATCAGATCATAAACAAGATATTTAGTATACTGTTTGATCCAAATTTGAGTCCAAAATAAGCCTCATCCTCAGACTAAGAGGCATCCACCGCCAGCGCTTGGAAAACTTTGTCCCACATACGGTGAACCAGACTGGATGAAGGCAGTTCCTGGAAAATCTTGTCAGCTGACCGAAAATGTCAAAGTTCCCGGTGAGATCAAATTTCTCCACAACCATCACCATTGTCTCAGTCTTAATGAGATAGAATTTACCACATTATTCAATTAGGCTACTAAGAACAGAAGTATCTCAGTGGAACATGCATCCCAGAAGATTGAGAACTAGATGGCGAGAGCACGGACGCTGGTCAGTCAGAGTTGGCGTTTTTTTTGCTTTAATTTAAATGACCAGGATCATTTATAACCAATTTAATAGTTATTAACAACAATTTACACAAATATTATAACTATTTATTTATACATTTATAAATACCAGTGTACACTTATGTATGTGTAGTGAACGTTTCATATTGACTTTTTATGTTTTAGAACAACAGTCAGTATGTTTGATTATGTGACCAGTGTATCTTTCTCACATTAATCCCTATTTACTGTATTTAAAGGAACATTAAACATCTTTATTGAGGATTATTTGATCAGTTGAACTATACACACTACTAAAAGAGTACTGCAAATGAATAACATCACTCACTAAATGTTGAAAGTTTATTTATTTTACCATAAATGATTTAAAAAAAGAACCTTAATAAAACTACAGAGGCCTAAAATTAAAGAGATTATAAGATCTCAGCTCACTGTATATCCAGAATACAGTCTTTCTTTAAAAACAATTTCCTAAAACAACTTAAAAGATTGCAGCTGGTTCCTGGGAAATGTTTGGATGTACTTTCAACCAGATGATGGCAGTGTGCTGTCACATGTGAATGTATGACTCAGCAGCACTGTGACGGTGAATCCTCTGGTCAACAACAACATGGTCATTAATGCCTGTGAGCAAACATCAAATTATAGTGATAATAGATTTGATTTAATGTGTTTAAGCTCTCTGATTTCAGAGAAACCACTATGAATAATGCATGACCCCGGCAAGCTGAAGGAACACTCACTCAGGAAATAGCTAGTGGACATAATAACCTGTAATGCTTTGCACCAATTGTGCTAAAAACTGACCCGGGTCATCTTAATATTTGCAGATATTAATTAGTATTCATTCTGGGTACCAGATGGTTATATTTAATGATTTAGGACAATACAGATTTTCAGTTTCGTCCACTTTCCTGTGATTGTAACTCAGTGACACTCCTGAGTCATTGTGCAGTGCTCTGTGCAGAAACCATCTGGTAGTCACATTAAAAATGTGCTAAAAATAAATTGCAAATGCTATTTGACACAGGTTGGCTTTAACAATGACTTACTTGGCGTTGTGATAGATGAGTTTGTCCTAATGCCAGTGCTAAATGACAGAAATCAGCATCAAGAGTGGCTCTGAATATCCCCTTAAATACGGATTTTCTTCTTTAGAGAAAATATGTTTTTAATGATGTGCATTCACAGTATTTTTTATATATTTTATAATAATAATAATAATAATAATAATAATAACAACAATAACACATTTTATTTATAAGAGCTTTTCTAGATACTCACAATAGACACACAAAAACATAAACATTTATATATATTTTTAATATCATATATGTACCATTAACAGTATATATGTATACATGTGCATAATGTATGTATTAAATGTGTTTCCCTTTTACATTTAGTTTAATGTATGTTTATATTTTGTATGCTACTGGATGCTTGAATTTCCCTCGGGAT